AAGCTAGTCGTGTGTTGCGAGTTTACCTTTATTTTAACAAGTTTTAGATTCGTTCATTTGTTAAGAGAAGAGTGGTCATTCCACTATGTATTGGCTCCAAATACATTCACTAGTACTTAAGCGACTAGTTTCGTTATTGCTAATTTCGTATTCAATATCTTCTACTTATTTGCATTAGTGGGGTATTGTAAGTAATGCAAATAGTGTAGGCTAAATATGGGTAGTTGATTAACTATATTTAGTGAGTTGGTAGGGTGAGTAATTGTCGTTTGACAACTTTATCCCTCTATCACTCTTATAAAAGGGATAGTCCTCCTTAATCATATATACATTTGATGGCTTTTGTATTCCTTTCTTAAAATATCTATGGTGGAAGAGAGCATCACAAGTGATTTGACTTCCACACTTCCGGTGTACGGTGTTTGGAAGGTTGTGTTAACCTTGGGGGGACAACGTCCACTTCCGGAATTACACCAATCCGAACGAAATTGCTTCTAAGGAAGTGACTTTCATACCACGACACAGTACATTGTTTTATTTTCTTCATTAATTTATTATTATTTGGTAGTTAATGCTAACTATTTTATTTGGTAGTTAATGCTAACGATTTTATTTTGTAGTAGTACTATTTTCTTACATGTTTTTTTTAATTTTTCAGTACACAATAATTATTCTATGTTACAAATATGTTGCAGCCTTTTAAAGGTATTGAAGTAAACTATTTCAAGGTAAATATGTGAAAAATGTGACATGATTGCGGGTTCTTTCGAGGTCTAAAGTATCTCATATTAAAATTGAATGTTCATATGTATATATCGATTAAAAAAGACATGTTAATCTTGTATATCAGATTTCGTAAGTGTTTAATGTATATGAATTCTCCCAATAAGTAATGAAAAAAATGAAATAAGGTTCAAACTTGACATGAATTCTATCCTACCTCATATTATGTAAAGACTTTTCAGATTATCCGAAATTCATTAGGATTCCTAGTGATTTAAATACCAGAAAGAAAATCGGAGAACCTAAATGATGTTTGTACTGTTGAAGCCCATGACACAATAAGAAAAAAAGGCCTATCTCTTTCAGCATTTCTTTAGCCGTGAACCATAACACGTGTTATTATATTTTATATTTTTTTCATTTATAATACTTCATGTCTCACTAAATGTGTTTTTTTTATTTTTAAAATGTCACTTTTAAAATGTCTTATTAAAAAAAAGTTAATAAACAACATTTCTATTTCCCTTTTACCTTTATATTCTTCACTTTTTTACACCAATCAAAATAAATCTGTTAAATCTATCAATCACATTTTACAGATAACTTTATCATTTTTTTTGATCAAATAAACCTTTAAAATTATGTGTTTAGTTAATATAAAACACAAATTATGAGGCATAGGAAATATTATTTTTTTTCAATAAATTTTGTTTTAATCATAACTTCACATAACACGATTTCATTATAAAAGAAATATGCCTTTAACGAAAATAATTGTATCCTATTGATAATCAAGCAATACAGAATATTAAACTATTAAAACTGACCTTACATAATACAGGGCGGTCCTGACTATATCTCGGCTCGGGACGAAATTAAAAATATGAGCCTCTAATTAAAAAGAAATTTAAGAAATTTATACAGTATTAAATTTCTATTAATTTTTTATTAAATTAAATAAATATAATTTATTTCAATATTAAAAATGTAAAAAATATATTTAAGCATACAAACACTTATAAAAAATACTGCATTCGAGCATTTTTTTGATGCAAAATCATTGATGATATTTTTAACATCAATTTTTTTCAACATATTTTTCTCAATACATAACATAACATTTGAAAATAAAAGAACGATCTTATCTAGAATTTAGAAATATATAAAAATCAAAAGAAAGAATTTGGAAACATGATCTTATATAGAATTTTAAAAACAATCTTTGATTCCAGCACCACAATTGATGATAAACAATTGTGACTTTGTGTTTGTGAGAAATATTAAAAATTAAAATTTGAGCAATAATTTTCAGAGGAATTTTAAAATATGAAAGAGAAAAGAAACAACTAATTATACTTTTTTTTTTCTCCATTTGAGTTTTGAAGAGAGAGAAAATAACGTTAATAAAAATTTTCATTGTTATGAAAATGGTGAAAGAGATTTATTATTACGTTAATAATAAGATCACCATGTTTCAATCTCTGGTGCTTAAATCCATAATCTCTAAGAACAACAACGATTTTTTAATCAGTGAAGTAAGTTGATTCGTGCATATTAATATAAAAATTTAATAATAAGAATTGATACCTTAATAAACTCATGGGTCTTATTATTTTATTTTATAATTTTTAAAATTTATTATTAAAAACTGAGGAAAATATATACTAAATATTTTTTTATTTATGGGCTCTAGGGGGCGCTCCTCCTGTTATTACTCGGACCGACCCTGACATAATATAACCCAAATCTAACATTAAACCTTAAAAAATTATTTCATAAAACCCTTTAAACTAGCGTAGACAAAAATCATGAAACCTAAAAATCCTAGACCCTAAACTTAAAAGAAACTGACCCTTAAATAAATGTGACTGCTAGCTTTCATTGCATGATCTTATAAAACAACCTTAAACTTATTCACTCAAGTAGAAACCTTAAATCATTAAAATTAAACTAGCATAAACCCTAAACTATAATTTTAAATATCTAAACCATTACCCTAGACCTAAGAAAAACTAACTCTTTAACACAAAAAATTGTATCCATAATAACATTCATCTCACAATCGTACACAATAACCATTAACTTATTCACTCAAATGAGAATCATAAACCCCTAAAACTAAACTAACATAGCGATTAATCCTAATTCCTAAATCTTTAAACCCTAATATCCTAAAACATCCCCAATTAAAAAACCTAAATTCTAACAACATAAACCACTAACCTAAATTCTAAGGCCAAAGATGAATTTAGCGTTTGAAAGACATTTTCTACAAGATGTGTCTTTGTTAGATGTTGTTAGATGTATCCATCTCAATAAAATATATTTTTTACTCATAAAACACATTTTTAATGTCCGTAACAGACGCTTTCAATAAAAATCATTTTTCTTTAAAATAGATGTCAATTTAATAAATAATTAGAAATGATTATTAGTTGAGTAATAATTTTTTAAGTATATTTGGGTGAAAAAGCCTCTGATATATTATTGGACCAACAAACGGCTAAATTGACGGGATAATGTTGTGAGAAAAAAAAAATTCACGAGATAATGCGTTCCAATAATTAATTGTTGAGATAGGGTGTTTGCTACAGTTCGAATGTAGGTCGCCAAGTGATCTGGGCGACCAAGGAGGTCGCCATGCTGTCCCTGCATCCCACCAAGAAGGTCGCCATAAATGCTGGGCGCCATGCAGTGAAAGTTGAAATGTAGTGTTATCTCTTCCTAGTCAAACACTAGTTGTTTGGGTTAAATGCAAATTTGGTCCTCATAACTTTGCACTCTCATATGCATGTTTTAATATTTAGGGGATAATAGCATTTTCGGTCCCCTATGCTTTGTAATGTCTTTGTTTAATCATTTGTGACATTTTTAATGTTTTGTTTCAGGCATGTATATTTTAATAATTATATTTTAGTCACTAGTTGTTTATTCTGTCAAGTTTGTGTATGCTTCATTTTGATCATAATATTTTTAGTTATTTCATTTTAATCACTGATTTCATGTGTTTTATATATTTTCCTTAATCTTTGAAATTGGCCATGAAATTTGTAAACATGTTTTTAAAACATGAAATTTCCTAACCCAAAGGTTGATGGCGACTCTATCCAATTTAATTTCAAAACATCATTTTTTCAAGATTAAAATCATAAATGTTTTTAAAACAATAAATAATTGTTTCACCTAAAAATGGTTATGACATATACATAACAATATAACAGGTAAAATATGACAAAATTGGTTTCATTATGACAAAACCCTAAACCAGAGATCCCAATAATCAATTTTAAAATAAATACATACTAAAATAGGATAAACAAGAAACATATATGACTAAATTATAATAAACATAAATACTAAACAATGGCTAAAATAACATGTTTACAAATTTCATGGTCAATTTCAAAAATTAAGGAAAATATATAAAACACATGAAATCAGTGATTAAAATGAAATAACTAAAAATATTATGATCAAAATGAAACATACACAAACTTGACAGAATAAACAACTAGTGACTAAAATATAATTATTAAAATATACATGCCTGAAACAAAACATTAAAAATGTCACTAAATGATTAAACAAAGACATTACAAAGCATAGGGGACCGAAAATGCTATTATCCCCTAAATATTAAAACATGCATACAAGAGTACAAAGTTATGAGGACCAAATTTGCATTTAACCCAAACAACTAGTGTTTGACTAGAAAGAGATAACACTACATTTCAACTTTCAGTGCATGGCGCCAGCATACATGGCGACCTTCTTGGTGGGACGCAGGATGGCATGGCGACCTCCTTGGTCGCCCAGATCACCTGACGACTTACATTCGAACTGTAGCAAATACCCTATCTCAGCAATTAATTGTTATAACACATTATCTCGTAAATTTTTTTTCTCATAACATTATCCCGTCAATTTAGCCACCAACAAACATAATAAATCTTCTTGCCTAAGCAGTCCATCTACCAGACAGAAACTGCATCAGCAGCGAAACGGGGACCAGAGCAGAGTAGAAGAAGAGTGCACTGTGAAACCACCAGCTTTACCTTTGGTCCCATGACCACTTACTGTCCAACAAATCACTGAAGTTTCCCTTCCCCCCCCCCCAAATAATTATCTCTTTAATTAATTAATTAATATTTTTCATTTGCAAAATATTAGGATATAAATCACTTGTTAGGAAAAGGAGCAGCTTCAAATAGTACAAGGCCTTTGCCAAATGATCCATCATCAGTTCATATTACCATAGTTTCATGTTCCCAGCTGCTTTTCATTTCTTTTTGTTTAATTATCTTTCATGATTCCTTGAATCTTCTGCAACAGCCTTATCTCTTTCTCTAAAATTAAAGCTTTCACTAGCTATAACAGAGGTGTTTTAATTTCCCATTTCTGCATATAAATTCTTCTTCCTCAAATCTTGTACCCCAGGTTTTCTTTTCCCTTTTTCTTTCACAAACTATAAACTAAGGGACAGAACTTTCATCTTTTGTCTGTCTGTAATTCTTTGAAGGATGAACAAACAAGAAGTCATGAAGATGCAGGTATCTTAGCTTTTTTTTATTTTAAATTTCCATGAGTGTTCAAAACCCTTGTCTTCTTTGTTTTTAACGATGTTTTCTGGTTTTCTTTTCTTCTCAGACATGGATTCTCAAAGTGAATATACAGTGTAGTTGTGATGGCTGCAAGCAGAAAATAAAGAAACTGTTGCAGAAAATTGATGGTATGTTTCTATGTTAATGTCATTTTTTTTTTTTTAAAGTTTAGTACTTTGGGTTTCTTATTTTGTTTTGGTTGAATTCAGGGGTGTATACTACAAGTATAAATGCAGATCAAGGGAAGGTTACAGTGACAGGGAATGTTGACCCAGCTATACTTGTAAGGAAGCTTCAGAGGTCAGGGAAACGTGCACAGCTATGGGGATCTGCTCAAAAGGGTTCAAACAGTTTCCAAAACCAGATGACCAACCAGTTCAAGAACATGCATTTTGATGGTGGCAAAGGTGGCAAAGACAACAGATCTCAAAAGGGTGGCGGCGGCGGCGGTGGTGGAAAGAATAAACAGAAAAAAGGCGGACAGCAATTTGCACCCCCACCGCACCATATGCAGCCAATGATAATGAAAGGGTCTAAAGATTTCAAGTTACCACCTTCCAAGGATCAGAATTCTGTCAAGTTTCATTTGCCTGATGATGATTTAGATGAAAGTGATTGTGATTATGATGAGTTCGATGATGAATTTGATGATCAGTTTGATGATGATGAGTTTGGACATGGCCATGGCCATCAAAAGCAAAACAAGATGGTGCCTATGACGGGAAAAGATCATGGTTCATATGGGCCCAACGGCATGGCTAATGTCCATGCAATGAATGGTAAAAAAGGAGATGCTTTTGATATACCTATAGTGATGAAAGGCATGGGAGAAAACAAGGATGGGAAGCATGGCAATGGGGTGAAGAAAGGAGGGGGTGAAAAGAACAAGGGAAGGAAGCAAAACAAGGGAGGTAAAAATGAGTGTGGTAAAAAAGGTGGTGGATTTCTAGGATTCTTTAAGAAGGACAAAGGTGTAAAAGATTGTAATTACAAGAAGGGTAAAAACGAATGGGACGGAAAAAACAAGGGTGCCCGTAAGGGGAACGGAGGCAGCAATGGTGGTGGTAACAATAATGGCAGTGGGGCTATAAAGGGTGGGGGCAAAAATGGTGGTGGGAGCCATGAGATGAACAAGGTTAAAAATGGTGGGCTTCATGACAATGATGTTATTAACCATGGCAGAGGAGGTGGCAGTATGAAGAACATGGGGCAGATGGGCCAAATGGGTCAAATGGGCGAGCAGATGGGTTATAATATGGGTATAATGAGTCGAATGGGGAACTATCCAATGAACCAGATGAGTAATATCCCTGCAGTTCAAGGACTACCTGCTGGTGCAGCAATGAATGGTGTTGGTGGGGGATACTACCATGGGATGGGACCAGCAAATTCCCACAATAATCATCATCAGCAACAATACATGGCCATGATGATGAACCAACAACGTGCGAATGGGAATGGTGGGGGTATGTATCAACCAATGATTTATGCTCAACCATATCGGCCACCCCATGCACCATACGGTCCGGCTTATCCGATGCATACCACGGCACCGAATTCCGAATCTTATGCTCATTTCTTCAGTGATGAGAACGCTAACGCCTGCAATGTAATGTAAATGTTTCTCAGATTAGTCAATGTTGTCTTCCATTTTCTTGGTTTCGTTTTTGCTTCTCTAGAGTGCTTTAAACATGTCATTTGCCAGATGTAATTTTGATATGATGCTGGTTTCAAATGTGAAATCATGTCGGGCATCAATCCCCTTCTAATCTTTGGCCAAAAAAGGTCTATTTGGCTTCAGCTTTTGACTACTAAATTCCCTTTTTTCTATGATTGCAACTCTTCAATTATTTGCTTTAAACAAAACTCCGGCAAGAGGCTCCCATCCTTTCCTTTTGAAAGTGATTGCTGTTGTTCTTGTTGCTTGCTTTTTCTTTTTGTAAACAGCCGTTTTTGTCCAAGTTTTTAAAAATATTTTTATTAATTAACTAATTTATATTTTGATGCAGGCCACATATAGACCCGAGACATCTCCCCAGCAATTTCACGACATGTTCACCAACAGACCGTATCACGTGCACCATACTAGCAATGACAAGATTCAAGGATGTGGGCACCATCCTCAATTAGATTTATGTGCAGGATGGAAGGCTAAAAAGACAAAATTGTTAGTGTAAGTTATATACTCATGAAACTAAATTCTACCTAATCTCCTTAAGCAGCCGCGACCAACATCAGCAGCCGCCATGTAAGCTGGTCATCGAGTTAAACCGAAGCCAGCCGCTGCCAAATACTCCAGCCGAACGTCGTGCCGTCGCCTAGCAAGCCGAACCATCATCATTATGTTGGTCATTAAACATCTAAATAAATAAAAGATATCAGAAAGTCAAAAGCAGATCACCTAAATCATACCTAAACTTGTCATTTTCATACCAAACATACAAAAAAATTCAAATGCATCCAAGGAGATTCGGTGAAGATATCAACCATAAAATATGCATATGATTCGAAGACAAGGGGGCAAAAAAGAAAGGAAAGGAAAAAACCACGAACAGAAGGGAGATTTTTGTAATAGATTATTCAGCCTCCATTGAAGAAAAGGATAACCATTGTAATCGTTGAACCTCAATCAAGAATATAATACAGAACATAGTTTTCTTTGAAGGTATATATCGTTTTAATCCCACTATCAATTTTAGTCCAAAATACATGTCTTTACTTCCATATGCTTGTTTTAATATTTTGAAAATTAAGTATTAAATTAACTCAGGGTCCTCAAACTGTTGTAACATTTGTATTCCGGTCAATAATGAATTTTCAGTTCTTTTTATTCTGAGATCTTTATTTGTTTATATTCTATTTTAGTCTTGAATTTCTTATTAAACATGTTTATATTTATATTTATACATGGGCCATCGTATTTTAAATTAATCGTGATTAAGTAGTTTAGGTTGTTATTGTTTCGTTTTAGTAATTTTATTCATGTTGTTTTATATTTTGTTATGTTTAACTCAGGGTCCCCAAACTGTTGTAACATTTGTATTCCGGTCACTAATGAATTTTCAGTTCTTTTTATTTTGAGATCTTTATTTATTTATATTCTATTTTAGTCTTGAATTTCTTATTAAACATGTTTATATTTATATTTATATTTATACATGGGCAATCGTATTTTAAATTAATCGTGATTAAGTAGTTTAGGTTGTTATTGTTTCGTTTTAGTAATTTTATTCATGTTGTTTTATATTTTGTTATGTTTCTGTTTTAAGCATGACATTTTACCTTTGTTATACTTTGGTCCTGCATATTTCTTTAGGATATTTCTTTAGGATTTATTGATGTTTTACTACTCAAGTTATATAATGTTTACATATTAGCTACTATTTTATGTTTGTCACTTATTATGTCCTTAAAGCTTTTGTTTTCCCTATTTTGTTTTTTTTTATAAATTTAAATACATATTTTTGCTATTTGTATTTAGGTTTGTAATATTTATTTGTTTTTATTTCAGTCCTTCCTAAATTACTAATTCGAAACAAATTAATTAAATTTCAGTAAACGGATCATAGTTTAACTTTGTATTTGATTCAGGGTTTTCACCATTTACGACAACGCGTAAGCGAAACAATACTAATTTTGGTCATTGTGGTGGTGCTAATCCTTCCCCACGCGTACCCGACTCTCGAACTCATTTTAATCGAATCTTTGGAAAACGCAGACCAATTTCTGTCTTAAAAAATGATTTTTCATAAAATTGTTTTTTAAAAGACGTTTTTAGGTAATCGACCTACCGAACCCAAAGGTTGATGGCGACTCTTTTCAATTCTATACAATTTAATTCTAAATCACACATTTTCCAAAAATTAAAAGTCGTAATCATTTTTTAAAACAATTAAACGATTGTCCTGCCGAAAAACGGTTACGACAGCTTGGCGACTCTGCTGGGGAGATGTCTCGGGTCTGTATGTGGCCTGCATCAAAATATAAATTAGTTAATTAATAATAATATTTTTAAAAGCCCGGACAAAAACGGGTGTTTACAGCTGCCCCTCTTTGCAAGGGTTAAAACACCACACGACCCTCAACTCTCCGATGAGCTCTCCGGTGAAAAGCATGAAAACCAAAGGTTAACAAACCCTTCCAAACGGGTGTTTATAGCTGCCCTTCTTTGCATATTCTTGTGTTAACAAGAATAGGTCAAAGACAAAAATGACAACCAGTTTTTTGTCCGGTTCTATTTTTTTGTTTAGCGTTTGATTTTGATATCCTTCATTGTAAAGCGTTGGATTGAACAAGTTCTTCTCATTATGAACTCTTCACTGAAAATGTTGATCCACCTCCTTCTGTGATGGAATCGAACCAAGGTTGAACAAGTTCTTCTCATTATGAACTTCTTCTTCCTCATTGGATGAGTTCTTCTCATTATGAACTCTCCACTGAAAATGTTGAGTCACCTCCTTCTGCGGTGGACTTGAAAGGAATAAGTTCTTCTCATTATGAACTTTCTCCTTTAGGACGAGTTCTTCTTATTATGAACTCTTTTGGAAATACTGGTTCACCTCATTTTGTGGTGAATTTGAAAGGAATAAGTTCTTCTCATTATGAACTTTCTCCTTTATGATGAGTTCTTCTCATTATGAACTCTCCATTAGAAATATCAATCCCTCATATCAATCCCTCAAGTGAGGCGTCACTGATTCGAAATGTTATGAATCGAGTGATAGGTCGAACAAGCTCTTCTCATTATGAACTTCTTCTCCCTCTGTCAGATGAGTTCTTCTTATTATGAACTCTCCATTGAAAATGTTGATCCACCTCCTTTTGCGATGAATCTTAATTGTTATTGACTCTCTCTGAATTTCAGTCAAAATATTCAAAGCATTTCAATGAATATGAATGAATGAGCATGCTCTTATTTATATATGCCTATTGATGTATGCATAATATCATTTTAATATTATGAATTTCGTGGTCCTTCATATCTTCATTTCAATTGCGTCATTTGTCCTTACGTTTGTACTCTACCCTTTGCTTGCAAATTCTCATTTCTCTTGTTCCCATTTAAATCATTTTCTGCTTCCTTTTGAACTGATCATCTTTATCAGCGTATCAAAATATAAGTATTTTTAATGTGTTTTTTCTCAGCTCACATGCATTTTCTTTGGTCACATCTTACTCTAATCTTTTCTAGCATTAGGGCTAGAATATCTGAAATTGTAAGTATTAATTCAGAGTAATACCAAAAATCTTTTTATTTTTTAATTCCATGTCAATCTACTTATAAGAAGAATGAATAAAATTAGGACTTGGAATAACAAACTTTGAATTCACTGACAAGGAAATGAATTTACAAAGTTATGGAAATCACATAAATAATGGAAATTTAAAACCACAAGTCAAATGTCCCTATGGATCATTAGCACGAATGTTCCTGAATCAATCCACTTGATATAACTATTGAGTTAAGCTTCTGTCTGGAAGACTTTAAGGATTGCCAAAATGTCCATAGATGTAAAGCTTTTCTCGAAATATCAGACCCTCGAGAGGATTTAACTGCCTGATGCCTAATCTCCAAAATGTCTTTGAGCTGCCTTTTTAGGTTTTCAACTCAAAATCTTCCTTTAGTTTCAAGATGTCCTTTGCGGATTTTCATCTCAAACCCTCCTTTTTCTCTCTTCATTTTTTTTTTTTTTTTTTCATCATTTTTTTTCATTTTTTCTTCAAGCATAATACTTCTTGACAGAGTCTGAGTTTACTGGATTTCTCAATTTTTCTCCATCCATCTCTGCCAAGATCAACGCTCCCCCAGAGAAGGCCTTATTGACAACATATGAACCTTTCTAATTAGGCATCCATTTCCCTCGGAAATCTTTATGAATTGGCAAGATCTTTTTAGTACTAGATCACCCTCTCGAAATTCTCTTGGATGAACTTTCTTATCATGAGCTCTCATCATCTGTTTATGATACATATGACCGTGGAAAATAGCTTTTAATCTCTTTTCTTCAATGAGATTCAACTGGCCAATACAAATTCTTCTCATTATGAACTTTCTCCTTGGCAATATATTCTTCGATGGTAGGAACCATGTCTTCTTTATTGAAAGTGAAACAGTTGTACCCTGGATTCCAAAATTGAATCAAGGCTCGGATCAACTCATCATCTATATAAACATATAGCAGATAGGAAATATCCCCATAACACTGGTAAAACTGCCGCTTCTTACTTGACTCCCATTTTTCCTAAATGTCTTGTAAGTCATGGATGTCATTTCTTTTAAGAGAAACGGAAGCATAACCTGCTAAATCTGACACATGATCAGCTGGAAAACTGTCCCCTTCCAATCTTTGCAATGCTTCAGCCCACTATCGTACCTCAGAGTTTTGAACTACTTGATTTAAATACTTTTCGTCCATTATTGAAAGCTTTCCAATTTGACGATTAACTGAAGATCAACACCCTTAATCTTGAATGATGCAATGCATATAACAAAAAAAACACAAAAAAAATGAAAATGAATTAGTACAAGTAAGAAAATTAATACAAATAAAAATGTCATTTAAAGATGAATATAACACCTACCCCGTCATGATATCTACCCAAACATGTTGTATACCCACAATGATTTTTCAAGAAATTAATCCTAACGTTTTAACCCTTGCATGCTCGATTTAAGGCCCGATTTGAGTGTTCGAGCATAGTCATGAGTCATCGGGGGTCTTTAGGTCCTATAGGGGGTTTTATTTTTGGTGTTCTTTTCTGGAATTGATAACAAGAAGAGAGGTTGGGTTATTTGGTTGTTTGAAGTTGGTTTAACGCATATTCATGGTGGTTTTTTTTGATTTTGGGGTCTCGATTGAGAGAAAAAGAAAGAGGAAATATAGAGAAGTAAAGATTAGAACATTTACCTTGGGAAATTTGGCCTCTCGTCGGGTGTAATTAGTGTCTTTCACCGGCGTTGAGAGGAACGGCGTTGAGGTTTGGGTTGGTAGAGTTCTCGGTCTAAGAGGGTAGCAAGGAAAAGGAAGGGGTTGAGAGCAACACAGAGGGAATAGGTGGTGTTGGTTTATGGTTCAAGGACCACCATGTAGGGTGGTCTGATGCTTGTCTCTCAGTCGAAGAAAGGAGGGCGGAAAATGAGAGCGTTCTCTCCGTTAATTTACACCAAACTGCTGGGATTTAGAAAATGGGAAATATGGTTTCAAAATAACCTTTAAATGGATTATAACTAATGTATGATGGGGTTTAAGTTCAACGCATAGGCCATTAACTCATAAAATATGCTATGCAAAATTGAAATTCTTTAAAGTAATCGGTTATAAATCAAGCAATGGCAGACAAACCAAAGTGGATTTGACTACTAGTGTGTTTAATTAAACTTTAATCCCACTATCAATTTTAGCCCAAAATACATGTCTTTACTTCCATACGCTTGTTTTAATATTTTGAAAATTAAGTATTAAATTAACTCAGGATCCCCAAACTGTTGTAACATTTGTATTCCGGTCATTAATGAATTTTCAGTTCTTTTTATTTTGAGATCTTTATTTATTTAT